CCCCTCCCCCAAAGTAGGTCTAGTACCTGTCCACCTTAAATTTCCCCACTAACCTTGCATGCATTGCAAATTTGGCAGTGATCAGCGAAGTTCTTTTCACTGTATTTCGCTATAAGATGATGATGGTGACTCCAACCTATATTTCTAATCGGTTGTATTTCTTCTATCCACTTTACAGAACTGATAAACTACACTTCCCATCAAGCTTTATCCAAAACCTGTAATCCTTTAGCCTCAGCCCACAATCCTTCAGCAAAAACCCGCACTGCTTTAGCCGCGACCCGTACTTATTTAGCCTCGACTCTGACTGACTGACTGACTGCCTGACTGACTGATTGACTGACTGACTGACTGACTGACTGACTGATTGACTGAATGAATGAATGAATGACGGTCTGCAATCGAAATGTTAGATAGCGAACAATCTGAAATAACATAGTTAAAACAAATGCAAAGGACTGACAATCGCTGTTCGAATTGGAATGTGATTCAATGAGGATCGGCCATAAATGGCTAAAATAGTCATTGAACGAGCACAATAAACGAGATCACGTGCTAGTACAATTGAAGTGAAGGATAAGATGATGCAACGAAGGCGTGGTTAGGCCGGAACTGGGCAACGTAGTGAAGCCATATACAAGACGCTTAAGAGAGCCTCCTCCGCGCTAATAAAACCTGTAATAAGTTGATTCAAATGTGCATAATGTACCCTTTTGCTTAAAACCAATAGAAATAGTCGAACGAACGAAAACAGAATATATATGTACGACAAACACCTAAAATATCAGTCTGGTTGTTGAGGCATCTTTTGATAACGAATAGCTCGGCTCGGTAAACAAAAGAATCCGTGTTTACCTGTCCGTCACATCAACGAATACCTTTAGGAAAAATCTGTAACAGTCAGTTCACTGACTTTTCAGCTTTTATAATCATCAAGATTTAAATAAAGCAGTAAGTTGGTGCATAATTTTATGCAGGAGATTAAAAATAGCAGTTATTTAAACCACCGTTATTAAGTTATTGTGTACAAAGTTTTGGTCATAGTAGAATATCAATCAGGTTTGGTATGATGGATCAGACCAACAGTGAATTCAGCTTTAGAGTCTAGAAACTTGAATTTCAGCCTCCAATTGGGGTAGACGATAACAACACTTCGGACAGCAACAGTGACGGGCACACCAGGTTGCACGAAGTTTTGCAAATAAGTTTATGAATTGCAGTTGTCGCGGGGCTTTCGCATCGAGAATCCAAACGACAACGAGCAGTGCTGAAAACAGAGAATGTAAGAATTAGCTTACTAGCAAATAGCGTAAAATATTTGACCTCGTTCGAGAATAACACCTAGAATCAGAAAATGTTGCTGTACAAACATCCTTTACGAACACAGTTATTGATGCACACTGTGGAAACCGATAAAATCTTCGTTCATTTTATCATCTAATTATGAATAAGAATTGATTCGTCTTCCACCTTATTCCATGTAAAACTTGAATTCATATTACTAAAAATATTTACTAACAAATCAAGGTGTGCAAGTTCAAACAATGTTCGAAGCAGTTGCCTGGATGCAGCATTTTCAGATGTGGTAGTTATATGCGTATTACTTATGAGTAGCGTAAAATGCATTTGAAAATAATCGGAAACTCGGAGATTCCTCTGCCACCGGTAATGTAGTGTACGAAGATATCGACTAGAAAATTCCATTTGTCATATTTGAATGATTCACTTCGAAATGCATTTTTATACTTCTCATAGATCTAAAACCTTCATTAAATTAGTGTCATCCTATACAATGCTATCATGTCAATCTTCATTCGATGCCGAACGGTCAGGAACATTGCTGCTTCTTGTCATGATCCTGCGGAGAGGCTTCACATGAACTGGTAACTAATCCTGTCGTACACATGCAAACGGGTTATTGCTGCAGACTGAATTCTTTGTCTATAGGCTGAAGCAACCGTACTATAGACAGAGATGCCCTTGTGAACCTGCTCATGTGTTTGCACTAATAACCCACATTGAAAATCATTACATCATGCACCACAAACGTATGGGACCACCCTCATTCTCCGTTTATTTTCACTTCTGCGTTGCATGACCAAACCATATCTGGCCAGCACGACTAAATATACCATGTGAGACGATGTACCGACTTTCAGGACAAAACTGTATTGTTTGCTAGTTGGAGCAGAAAATGTGAAAAGACGAGAAAAAAGAAATGCACCCCTTCAGGTTAGCTCCCATAGATAAAAACTACAACACATTGCAATCACCATTCTGCTTCTTGGTATGTTCATCACAAAACCTGTGATTGCAACATTATTGATATTCGCTTATTCTCATTCAGGGATGGTTATGTATTCAATTGTGAACTTTTGAACCATAGATTCTTGATAAAACCCTTTGAACAGATGTGCTACCAAGGCTCTCCGTGGCTGCAATGCATCCATCTCGTGAGACTGACCCCCCGGAATAACAACCAATAACAACCAATCTAGAAGTATTTGAATAACGTACAGTGGCCATATGAGATGGGTTCATAACGCCACATTGCAATCCATCGGTCACTAACGAAAATATAATCTTGCCAAACATGTAAATGTACGAAATGGAATCGTTTATGCCTGTAATCATCACTAGCTCCTTGTAGTCATTAGCTTCAAGGGATTCCTCAATCACCCTTGAGCTTTTGTTCTCTTCGGTTGACCGAAAAATCGTTCTTCTATTCTGGTAATATGCCAACATTTATTCTCAGGGGAAGTTTAGGCTTCCCCTGACACAACCAAAACAAGGTCTTGAAATACAGTTTCCCAGTGCAGTTCATCCATTGTGTTATTGGTCTATTTTGTAATATTTATAATGCTGGGACGGATTCAACAATTTTTATGAGTGACTTGCGAAAGGCAAGCAGTACCCTTGTGAAGGCTTACGGAGCTACGGTTGGACTTGAACTCACCCCCATAGTCCTGCTTGTTACCCATCTACTTGCATTCGGTTCGTTACCAGGATTGCAGAACTATTGTCACCAACTGTCGTATGATGACAGGATTTATTTTTGAGAAATACGAATTCACGTCCCACTAACAATTAATAAATCACAAAAGGTAAATAAACTATACAGTTTCAACTTCAAGTGCATCCGTTATATCTTCGAGTGAGTTCAAACAATCGCATTTTGTTTGGAACCCCACAAAGTGATTGATGATTCTGCTGTTCAAAGGGGCTATTTAATTGTACTAAAGGAGAGTTGTGGAACGTGACATACTAGACACACACATTTTTCATTTACTTCCTTTTATTTAATATGCAAATGTATCAGGAAGGGGAAAGCGACCAACTGAAGGGTTACCATACAACACTTAATGAGGTAAGACAAGCGATGGTGGTGGTATTCGAACACACACCTTCCGAGATGATAATTGGTGACGTCACCACCGGGCCACCACCGCCCCAAACATAACGGCTAACTTGACGATTTCATGCAAATGGCGTTCTACTTGGTAGCTCAGCTCGAAATGTGCTCTTTTGGCACTGTTTGAGCATGGTGAACTCTAAATACGGTCTTAATTACGTAAGGTGTAGCAATATCAGCGTGAACATAGTTGAGGCTCGACAACTGACGTCTACATGAATCACGTGATTTTGGTTCACATTACCCTATCAAACACCCAGTTCACTGATCAAATGAAGCAGCTTGTTTCCAGGACTTGATTTTGTGAAATGTTTGATGCGAACCCGCACCCGAATATGGGTTCCCTTTATTTTCGCCCCGTACCGTTCTTCTTTTCTTCTATTGGTTTTAGTTTTGTTTTATACGTTGTATCGCCACGTATTCGATCATTCTGACCGAGCAGGCTCAATGAATTGAAAAGGATGTGTGCGGATTCTGATACTTACCAGGTGATTCATTAAGATGGAAACAAATTCCTGATCAAAAGTTTCAGCTGCGGTTCAGTTGCAATTTTATTCGACGAAAGTGTAATATGTAAAATGTTACAGCGCTGGCAAATTGATGATCGTAACAGGGGTGTACTTTTGTGAACGGTATTTATTATCCTCGGCATGTTTATGTATCCAGCTCTCATGAACAGAGTTCATTTGTGAATGCCAAACAATTCACCGTTTATGTTACACCTGCCAAATGTTTGCTTACAGGGGTCTCGCAAACTATACGGAAACACTGAAGCCTGATGGGAAAACGTGTAGAACCAAACAGTTTTTTCTGTTTTAGTTGGACTGCAGAGAATCAAATCCGATTCCTACATTTCGGTAAACACGCTTAAAAGTATTACTACCGAATAATATTCAAATAAGAGTACATTGTAGAGTCAGTTTATCTCTGGCTTACGGGAAACAGGACAGAAGGTTAAGAAGCATGAGGTGACCAGTACCAGGTTTCCAAAAACGGAATGAACAAACAGGAAACTACGATGCTGTCGATTGTAAACACATTGGCTCTCCAAGCGGAAGTACTGTTCACGTACAAAAAGTGATCGGTCACTATTATTTGTCACCACTCAATGCGCGGAAATTGGGTTATCATGGACGATTGAAAGAGTGGTAGCAGATGTGACTATTGGCTACTCACGAAATGGTGGTTCATTTGTTGTGATTCTGGACTTCTGATTCACCGTTCAAGCAAATGACAACTTACTCAGGGTGAGGTATTTTGAGGGTGTCGCTTTTCTCCTACTTTGAGACTGAATAATCCAGGGTGCACGTTTTATTGGATTGATCAGCAAAAGAGTTGCGATTAGGCAAACAAACTTACCTAGAACGCAAGTCATACTAATCGCTGCGAACAGAATTGTCCATTCTCCACGAACGCGGACAGTTGTGATCAAAGCGGCCAGTACGCTACCAAGAATCTGTGGTGAAAGCATGAGACAAATTAAAGGGAAATCAAATCGATGCAGTTAAAAGCTAATCTGTAAAAGGACTGTTAATGGTGATGATGATTCGGATGATGAATATGATGATTCGGATAAAGATGATGATGATGATGATGATGATGATGACTCAGATGAATCGGATGAATCGGATGATGATGGTGATTCGGATGATGATTCGGATGATGATGATTCTGAAGATTCGGATGAAATGACGATTCGCATGATGATGATAATTTGGATGATGAATCGGATGAATCGGATGAAGATGATTCGGATGAAGATGATTCGGATGATTCCGATGATGAGTCGGATGATGATTATGATTCGAATGATTTGGATAAGGATGATGATGATGCTGCTGATGATGATGATTCGGATGACGATTGGGTTGTCGATTCGGGTGATGACGATAAGGATGATGATGATGACGATGAGGAAAATGATTCGGATGATTCCGATGATGAGTCGGATGATGATGTTGATTTGGATGATGACGATGATGTAGTGATGATTCGTATGATGATTTGAATGATGATGATGATGTTGATGATGATGATGATGATGGTGCTGCTGCTGCTGCTGATGGTGCTGCTGCTGCTGATGGTGATGATGAGGATGATGGTGATGATTCGGATGATGATGATGATGATGATGATGATGTTGATGATGGTAATAATCATGATGATGATGGCGATGATGATGGTGATGAAGATGACGACGACGTTGAAGATGATGATGATGATGATGACGATGAGGATGATTATGATTTGGATGATGATGAATGTTCGGATGACGCTGATGATGAGTCGGATGATGAAGATGATGATGATGATGGTAATGATGATGATGTTAAATCGGCTAACCGTTGGGACGAAGATCATTGCAATTTGTACCAGGATGAGCCCGCCTGCAAGTTTACTAATTCTTCGGAAAAAAATCGAAGAAATTTACACATTCGACCCAAATCAGGGTCATTTCGGATCAATACTAATCTCGCGTAGATTAATCAATAATATCGTGTCGTAAGGCAATATTCACTCTCTCCGTTCGTCTAATCCGTAGCCTATGATCGATTGAACTTTGCTCACCGTGTACTTGATTGGAACAATCTTTTTCTAACGTTGATTGATGCTATTTTGAATCACATATAAGCAGTAGAGTAAAACTTGTAAATTGACTCGTGACTTGTGATTTGTGCTCAACGCCATCAAAATCCCGTGCTGCTGAAGCCGTGTCTTCTCTCTCGTGTTTTGGAAGGCCTGAGAGATCAATAGCCGACCGAGCGTCCTGTGTTTCGCCTGAGTAGCTTTCGCTCCTAGACCTATCATCCGCTCACCGACTTAGTGCTAGTACGCTGTTCTCGTTTTCCGTGGGCTACTATTGTTACTGTGCCATAACTTGTGTTCTTTGCACTTGTGCTATTCACCTGGGATATAGTGCTGTGAGACCTAATAGTAGGCAATGAATTAAAGCGGAGTAAAACATAACTAGTTGACGACATAACACTGATAATCATAATAATAGTAGCAACAATAGTAATAATATTAATAATAAGAATAATCTTCGGTCATTCGAAAACACTAAATGATTTGTATAGTGACAAAATGATTCTCTTATCCGTATCCAAATGAGTCAGAATACTCCTCGAAAGTGAAATCCTATACTTTTCTCAAGCGGTCTACTCACCAGCGCAGTGAACATGATCCCGTAATTGATGGCCATATTTTTCGGGCCGAAAAGAATCTGGGTTGCTGACGGAGCGAGGACTAGCACACCGCTCACGCAAAAGAACATCACAGAAACCCATATGGCGTAGAGTGCTCTGGCCACCGGACCGGAAAGCAGGGCCAGATGTGGAAAAGTGCACATCAGCACAGTCCACAAGATCAGTAGAACGCACATTGGAAACTGAGCCACGAAAAACACAAGAACAGACGCGTAAAATCGTGTTTAATTTTAACCAAAATCAATCCTACGGTAACTCTAAGATAATAAATGATGAGCTGTAATTTAACAAAACTATTGTTTCAATCGCAGATCTGATCAGAACGGTTGTTTTGACTGACTGCGAGGTGTAGGACACAAATTGTGTACACGCACCAAAGTCTAAGTCAAAGGAAGAAAACTAATGAAGGCCTATTGAACTGTACAGAATGTAATGATTATAGTGGTACTAGTAGTAGTAGTAGTATGCTCGGAATTCGGAACACAAACCACGCAATAGGAATCACCGGACATGAATCAAGGATCATCTGTCACGGACTGGATTACGGAAGTACTGGACCGCAATATTTCAGGTGAACGAGACACGAGGAAAAGGCCACAGGAATAGTAGTTAGTTTATTGGAAGAAATGAAAGCGATTAAATAATATGTACAAAAGAAGATTACTGGTTATCTAGGCTTCTACCAATCGGATTGCAATACTGCTTGCATAATTCTGCTTTTGTCTGCACTGTCTCGGATTGGCTGGTACGATCCACCAATGACGTGTAGTCAGAAGCCATACGCGTGTCATTGACGTCATCTTTCAAATTTGATTTATCGCAAATGTTCAGAAATGATAATCCGCCGCTCCGGAGTAGGTCTCATCACGAAAGCCTGGATCACCACAGTTCCATCAGATATGCTTAAAGTGTTATTCGTCAATGAAATCACAGCTAAATATGCATTAATGATATTTTCCAATCCGGACAGAGAGAGGTGCTCTAGAGACAATCACGGGAAAGAATAAAATGATTGGATCTCCTGCGAAGATAAATTGATATTGCTGACTGTCACACGTTTTTGAGGATTATCATAGTCTCTTCTTGTGCTTGCTGGTGTCGTGAGTAGTATGTTTGAATTGCGCAAAAACAATGTGATTGGCTGTTTCTCAGAACGTTGAAAAATGAAAAGGACCTGTTAGAGCGAAGCACTGTTTTCAAAATAGTAACTACAAGAAGTGCGCATCCACTGTCAGATCGTTCCACTAGTTCTCCTGTAAGTGTTTGTGGAACTTCTGAATACCTGTTTCAAATCAGACATTTTGTTGTAAACATACCAATTAGCCGATACCGTTACCGGTAACGGTTATCGTTGTCGATTTATAACACTGACAGTGGACTCGTATTAATCTGCAAACTTATGCTGTTCCGGATTATACACATACAGATGAAGTCGATTGATAATGCTGCAAATATATTTGGAAACACAGGAAAAGACGACAAAATGCAGACACGAATTCCTTAGCATGTGTTTATTATTAGTTATTATTAGTTCAACGATACCGTCATGAATAACACTGTCAAATACGGCTCTGTTTTCCCTCATTTTGAAAAAGAATACTCAGGAAATTCTTTGCCAAGTGAGTAACATTTGTTTTACGTAATACGGTCATAAGATGAAACATTTGTTCACGAAATCCGCCTGGTGATCTACACCTCCAAGATAACGCCATTCAAGGAACCACTCGGTACAGTTTCAGGACAATGAATCAAAGGCCAATAGTATTGATCATTCAGAAGCTATGCAGATCAAACGGAAGCTCTGCGATTGGCCAAGATCTGTTCAACTAATCGCCGACCTTTGATTCTGCTGATTTCTGCCAATAAACCATTCGCTACTTCAGTGGCCTTCCGTCTGTCTCAGTGACGGCAGACTCCAGAAAATGGCTATTAGTGACTCGTAATTCGTCTCTATTCCGAATAATACGATACATTGTATCTGTTCCAAAATTAACCCAACAGACAAAGACCATGGTTAACGATCAAGGAGAGCTACGTGATTAATCGGGTTCAACATATACACACACAAGAACGGAATGCATTCGGACGATGGGGGCAACTGAAAGGTAAGTGCAACCTTGAGCAAGGTGCTATCGGGCGATAAGCCTGCTGACTGATGGGACCATCAATGACGTTCGTGTGAGAGTCTATCAGACAGAGGTGGGTGGGAAACGGGGATGAGAAAGAAAACCCAAAATAAAAACAACTGGGAAGCATCATGTAGTTGCTTCAATTGTTGCAACTGCGAGTTGTTGTGATCACTACACGATCAGTTTGGTGATTACGTTCAACTATTTTCCACTGAGAAGTAGTTTTATGGAAGGAGTGGAAGATTTGATTACATTAAATGATAAATTTGTCTTGTAACTGAGAAATGAGTTGAAAAGCTTGCTAGTTCTGGATAGCTGTTTCGATTTGGTTGGGTCCCATCAGCAGTGCGAATCTATCGATCTAATTGGTGCTCGAATCCGGGACCACACAACATACTACCAGACAGCTTCTCATTTTGAATATACCAGACTCACCCATAACAGATCTCTCGCTGAGAAGTTGTTTTAGCAAACTAAAAAGACAAAACCAAGAGGTTTACGTCTAAGGCTTTGTAGCATGGGTCTTGTAGTATGAACTATTGGTTAGATATACGAATCAGGAAAATACCTGACAACAAGTACTCGGTCAGACAGATTTGATTGATTGTATGATGGATAGTGTGACGAGCGAAGATCCTTCATTCGTGCATTTTTATCTAATACCCATCATATCTCAGTTGTAATGAATATAAGTAAAAACCCCAAATAAGAATCCACTGGAAAACGTGTTCACATTCATCGAATTTCTACCTATCCCAGGAGTTACTCAAATCAGTTTGAAGACGTATTTAGGTAAAGGGGTTTTTACGGTTTATTTTACGTAAGCTCAGCATCACTAGAAGACTATGGTGACACAAAAGTGAGCGATAACGCTCAACAGGCAGCCACGGATTACAGGTTCATGTTGGAGCCTCAGCAACAGGGAAATACGGACCAATCATATCAGCTGCGACCTAATCAGAAATGCCATGAAAGCACGAAGATGGAATTTTTCATTGGATGATTCGGTGATCTGAGCCAGTTATCATTTTTCGTGCATCTTATTTCGCCAGTTTGACTCATGCTTTCTCGTCTCCTACCTTATCTCAGTGTCGGGACTTCCGGCAGGTTAGTTTTCGTACGACTTTGATTGCCGAACAGCGGCGAGTAGTACGGACATTGAGACAGTCTGTGTGTATGTAGGTGTGTGTGTGTGTGTGTGTATGATAAGCATGCTTTGGGTGCATTTGGATCTTTAGAGTACAAAAGGAGTGGAACAGAATCACTACTTACTTTGAACGAGATCCAATCACAAATTATGCCCCACACAACTCGACCGAGAGCATTACAAACGGAGGCAGCAATACCAACCCCGGCGAAAAATAGATCATCGTTTAAAAAACTGCGACCAACAAACTAAAATTAAAAATGTACAAGAAGAAAGAAAAACATTTGTGAAAGGAGAGAAATTTATCCATAACTTGTTATTCGAGAATAAGTAGGTAATTGGATTTGAACAAAACTCTTTCGACTGTTCGAATAGGCCATCATTACACATTGTAAGAAGAACACATAGTAGCGAACAGTAGCTGGTTTGACGGGGTGATTCATACACAGGCAAACACATTAAAATTTATACTAAATTTGACTGATTAAAACTTCAGCCTTCACTTCAATTACATCCCTCAGCTCTCCTAGTTAACAACAGACGCGGAATCGAACTATTGACTCCTCTCTCGATCTTATTAGAGCTCATCAATAGTGCATATCCACCATCCCGTCCGCGATTTGAACTCCGGATATATCGTACGGAAGGCATATGTGTTATCACTGTGCCAACCAGCTCATGGCAAGGTTGAGCCGAATTGTCTGTTCGTGTTTCGAAGACATGAGGAATGCGTGTGAAGGCGGAGTTGGAAAGGTGTTTAGTTCTAATTAATCAATATCAATTATCCCACGCCACTATCTACAAATGGCTGTGAGCTGAATGTGAATTATACCCAAATGTTTAATGAGAGGGGGAAATGATGGCTGGGAAATCCTGACAATATGGGATAGATGGATGTGGCGCACCCTTGGATCATCACTCATGCTCATGGATTCGGGTTTTCAGGGTGGGGGTGAGTGGAGGAGTTGATTTTGTCGTACATCGTGTTGACTATGGAACACCGAGTATTCCAACGAATTGTTTTCGATCGTTTTCGTTGTGATCGAAATGTTACTCCGAATCCCTGCGGTGATCGTGCAACGAATACGCATGCACTACGGTACAGCTTCGGGTTAACCAATTAGGAAACCNAGGAAACCGGTCTACCAACCAATCATGTGATTTCAAGTGGCACCAGTCGGATTGGCTGAATGCGAGAAAGAAACCAAATGAAACATATCGCTGCCGATTGGACATTGAAGAATCGATCAATGATTGTTGGATGTTTGTGATATTTATATTTGCATGATTTTGAGAATGGAATTAACTGTGTCCATACCTCATCTTTATTCTACCTGACTTTTCCCTATTCAGCGGGTTTTCACTCAAAATCCGAGTTCACGCTATTTCGACTCCACTTCCCATTCCGAATAATACNACAATTCCATTCGATCGACGCGCTTCGGCCACATTAACCCATGGTATAACTCTACCAGGTGTGAAAAAACAATTCCCTGGTTAGCCGGTAAGACGATCGTTCAAACAACAAAACATTTTCTGCGATGCAGTAGTAGTGACTATTTGTACATAATCAAACAACCCTCGGATTTCTGACTGGCACATCTCTGGTTTCTATAAATCTTTCCACATGACGACCATTTACAACAAATAAGCTTTCAAAGAGTACTTTGAACTTGGACCAAATTCTATTTTAATTAATCTAAGACGTGTTGTAATGTTTCAGGTTTGGAAGTTTGCATAGACCAGTGGATGCACTCTACCGATAAGATCGACTGCCAGAAATCTTCAAATTGAAGCGTTTCGTGACACGCCATGAGCCCAGCAGGAACCGATCAGATGACAGAATTCTGGCGCCTATGAACTCCAAGAATGGTAAAAATTGTTAATTGCTTTTCAAGTA